CCAAGTAGCTGGGACCACAGGCGCCCGCCACAACGCCCGGCTATTTTTTGGTTGCAGCCGTCATTGTTGTTTTGGCGGGTCTGGGCTGGGGATTCGAGCCCTGCCACCTTAGGTGTACATGGCTGGCGCCTTAGCTGGTTGAGCTTTAGGCGCCGAGCCAAGAAACTTTGTTCATTTTCATTTTTTACCAGGGCCTGCAAAGTATTTGGCTGGTCCTGAAGCCCTTTCTGAGTTTATTCATTGTGATGATGGTGTCTCAAGTTATACTGGAAACCTCTATGGATCAGAAGGTCCCACAGGACAGCAACTGGAGACCATGTATCATAGTGTGGCCAAGTCCCCAGCCTTGTAGAACCTTTAACAATTGGCCCCTTGTGCCCAGAGTCCTATCCCCTCCTGGCAGCTCCTGCATACTACTGAGTTCAGATTACATCTTAAACGTTTCAGGTTTTGTTTTGTTTTTTGCAGTTTTTGGCCAGGGCTGGGTTTGAACCTGCCACCTCCAGCATATGGGGCTGGCACCCTACTCCTTGAGCCACAGGAGTCACCCAATGTTTCAGTTTTGACAAAGGGTAGAGAGATCCATTCTGGAACTAAACCACAGCTTTAAGTGTTATCATTGTCAGCGCCAATAAAGTGTACCTCTTATTTTTTCCACATAATCCCTACAGACTATATGGTCTAATATCTCTTCTAGATTTTTGTTCTTTGAGACAGAGTCTTGAACTTCTGTTGCCCTGGGTACAGTGCAGTGGTATCATCAAAGCTCACAGCAACCTCACTCTCCTGGGCTCAAGCGATCTTCCTGCCTCAGGTTCCTGAGCAGCTGGGCTATCGGTGCCCACCGCCACACATGGCAAATTTTTCTATTTTTAATAGAAACAGGGTCTCCCTTTGCTCTGGCTCATCTTCAACTCATGAACTCAAGGGATCTTCCCACCTTGACCTCCCAGAGTGCTAGGATTGCAGGTAAGAGCCTCCTCGCTCAGCCTCTTCTAGATTTTATGTGACTTTTCCTGAAAGATTCTAACAGGGGAAAACATTTTCCTCTAAATTGACTGTTTTCATATTTCAGATAGTTTTTTAAAAGCTTTGGTCCTCTTCCTTATAATTTCTGAAGAAACTTTTTGACAACTTTTTTTCATCATTCTGTGAACTCAGAAAGGGAAGCAAATTTAGAATCAAGACTGGGTTTGGGGTGGGATGTTGTGACTCACATCTGTAACCTTAGGCCAAGGTGGGAGGATTGCTTGAGGCGAGGAGTTGCCCAATCTGGGCAACATATCGAGTGAGACCCCATCTTGTGTACCTATAGTCCCAGCTACTCAGGAGGCAGCCTGAGCCACAGAATGAAACCCTGTCACTTTAAAAATAAAATAAAATAAAAGACTAGTTTCAAGCTTTGGTTTAATTTTTCTTCTCTCCCCTCCCCTTCCCCTCTCCTCCCCTTTTCTTCCCTAGGGTCTCTCTCTGTTCCCAGTTAAAGTGCACTTGCCTCATCATAGCTCTCAGCAACCTCAAACTCCTGGGCTCAAGGGATCTTTCTGCCTCAGTCTCCCAGGCAGCTGGGACTATAGGCACCGGCTGCTTATATTTTGTAGAGACAGGGTCTCACTGTTGCCCAGGCTGGTCTGGAACTCCTAGCCTCAAGCGACCCTCCCATCTCAGCCTCCCAAGTGCTGGGATTACAGGCATGAGCCGCCGTGCTTGGCCAGGTTTGATTTTTCTTTCTTTTTGTTTGTTCTCACCATTTTTTGGTGAGATCCTCTGTTTACATGCCTGTCCTGTGCTTCTGGACATCATAGTCTCTCTCGTGTGGAGGGCAAAGTCACAGGAGTCTTTTAACATGGAGTCACACACAGGACACAGACTTTTAGAATCCATTTTTATTACGATGGACAACAAAGGAACAGTGCAGGAGAGAATCATAATTAGGAATAGAATTAAAAGCAGAAGTATGAATTTCCACAGATTTCTATTGGGAGGATATATGGTTCTTTTTTTTTTTTTGAGACAGAGTCTTACTATGTTACCCTCAATGCAGTGTTGTTGCGTCATAGCCCACAGAAACCTTCAACTCTTGGGCTTAAGCAATTCTCTTGCCTCAGCCTCCCAAGTAGCTGGGACTATAGGTGCCCACCACAATGCAGCTAAGATATATAGTTCTTTTTGATGCTGATAGGAATCCTTGCATTCGCTCCTCTCCAGGGATCTGGGGAGAGGGGAATCCAGGCATGGTAATAGAGCAGCTAATTAGGTCTCTGAGCCCCAAAATAAATAACTTCTGTGCCTCAGTTTCTGTATGTGGGAAACGTGTTGATATAAGAAATCATAACTTGGAGCACTTACTTCCAGGTACAGTGGATAATGCTTTACGTTAGTTTATTCATTCATTCATTCAGCAAATATTTATTAACTACCTACTATGAGCAGGTGCTCTTTCAGAGACCCAGGATGTAACAGTGAACAAAGTCCTTTCCTTTCAGGATTGTACATTCATTGAATCCACCCAACAACCCTTTGAAGTCAGCATTAATGAGTCAGACAAAGAGACTGAAGCTAAAGCTGGTTACGTAAAATCTGCCCAGAGGTCACACAGCTAGTAAGTGGTGCAGCTGGGATTCAAACTTAGATTTGTCCTACTCTCTGAAGCCTAAGTTTTTCATCCTTGCTTCTGAAAAATAATAATAATGATAACAATAGAGGCAGCCTCCACAGGTTTTTTGAGGCCCAAGAATTAGAACATGGCAAGGTTCTTACGTGAGGAGAATATCCTGGGAATTTTGAGAGAGCATAAATGAAGGAGTTGAGAACAACTTCCACCACTTTGTATCTTAAGAAAGGAACTAAGTTTGGCTCAGAATTTTGCTCCATCCCTCCACCCCCAATTCTGGGCAGGGGCAGCCTGTCATTTCACAAAGTCATGTAGTTTTGAGGGCTCCTGGTACGCATCTGGGAAACTTGTGCATAAGGCAGTCTTGCAATAAGAGGATAACACTTATCCTCTTATTGTTGTTAGCACACAACAATAGAAACTAGAATTTCACTAGAGTTTCACTAGAAACTACATTTCACGAAAGGATGCAAGTCCTCAACTTCTTTGTTTGCCACCTGAGAAAATTTGCTGTCATGTGAGAGTTGATTATGACCCTCCAGGTAAAAAGGACACAAGCATCATGCCTGACACTAAATACAAATTCGGTAATTACTTGGAGAATAAATGAATGAATAATTTCAATTCACAGTCAGAGAGCAAGCAGTCAAAAGCAGTTATGCTGGACTCAGCACATCCCACTGGAGAAACCAGGGCAGGTAAACATATCCCTCAGCACCTTTTTAGAAATGCAAAGACCTGCAGAAAAATGTGGAGCTGGAAGAAGGTCAGAGCAGATTGTTTGGCTCTTGTTCCTGGGCTGCCAGGGAAGTCAAAACAATGACAAAGAAATGCATGTCGGGGACCCTGTGAAGATGGAACCACCAGGACCAAGACATCCCCATCAAAAGGGCCTCACACAGCCTGAAATAGAAGTATTGACTTAGCCCGGATTCTATTTTCCAAGAGAAGTAAAGATTTAAGGTCAGAGGATAGGAGATACTGATAACTCTTTAAGTTCATTTACTTAAAGAGATCACCCCCTGCCCCCAGAAAGAGAATATGACCCATTTAAACACTTATTCCTATTTATTCAGCCACTTAAACTTACACTGAGCAATTGCTAATGCCCCCAACATCTCATATAGTGCCTTACCATTGTAATTACATCATATAAATACAACTGACTCACTTTAGTCAACTGGGAACTTCCAAAAAGCTACAGTCATGTGCGTTTTATATCCAACAGAGTGAGGATACAGCTCAGAAAGTGTGGTGGTATTTTCAAAACCCCTACCCTTTAGGGGTTAATTCTAAGTTGCCAATCTGTCCTTCTAGAAGTTGGTCTGTTTCCTTAGTGCCATTCAACACATTTGGAGATCCCGGCGAACATCAGACCGGCTTTGGAAACTATTTGCCATGCTGATGCAACTCTTGCGACAGAGGTCTGAGATTGGCATCTCCTCCAGCCTCGGTGTCTTTGAATGTCCTGGCTGCTTGGGTCTCAGACTGCGGATTTTGAGCTTAGTGTAGAATTTGGGAAATGAGGGACTTGAAAAGTAATACACCAAGGGATCCAGCATGCTGTTCAGGTAGGTGAAGCTGAGGGTGACATGGAGGGCTACGTGGACAGAGGCATTGCAGGCGCTCGAGGGCATTGTCCAGAGGAAATACAGTCTGGCCAACACGCTAGGCAGGTAGCATGTGACAAACACGACAGCCACCACCATGATGAACCGAATTGCCTTCTTCATCCGAGTCTGTCTGGCCAGCTGCTGCCTCTGCTTCAGGCTCCAAACAATCTTGAAGGAGCAGAACAAGATGATGCCTAGAGGCAAAAAGAACTCCAGCTGGAACATGATGTCGTGCCAGCCATTGGCAGATTCCATGATGAAGCTCTCACAAGACACAGCCTTCTCTTGCACACACAGGTGGTTCTCCGTTAAAAGGTACAGAGTCCCCAGGATGACCATGGTCCAAAGGGCACAGACAATGCCAGCTGCTGTCCGGTTGGAGATGGTGTTCACCATATGGTGGGGGTGGACCACCTTGAAATACCTGTCCACAGCCACCACCGTGAGGAATACAATGCTCCCAGCCCTGTTCATGGCGACCATGAACAGCACCAGCCGACAGGGTATGTCCTCAAAGGCCCAGTGTCGCTGTCTGCGGTAATAGTCTGTCCGAAGGGGCAAGCAGATCACGAGGAGGAAATCAGCCACAGCCAAGTTGAAAAGGTAAATAGTGCTCGGCTTCCAGGTCTTCATGTGGAAGCAGAAGCCGCATAGGGCGAGCCCGTTGCCCAGGGCACCCAGCACAAAGGCCAGAATGAGCAGCGGTGGCATCACCCCAGAGATGGGGTCCCCCTCTATGAGGCAGCAAGATCCGTTGTACATGACAGGAGAGGACAAGTGTCCTGGGTGCCAAGCGGTCCCAGAGTCCCCACAGAGGCACAGATGCTTATCTGAACGCTACCACTCACCCAGCTGCTGCGGGTCGGACTTCATCACCTCGGATGCAGGTCCCGCCCGGGTGGGTGGATGCTGCTGGGGCACGGAGAAGAGAAACTCCAACCAGGAAGCCAGAGTCCCCGCGTGGTCCCTTCTCTGAAGCCTGGGTCACAGGCTGCCTGTCTCCCCCAGAGGCAAAGCCTGTAGCCAGGCAAGGCTGAGAAAGACATGCAGTTGCCTAAGTGGTCACTTTGGGGAGGCGGCAGGCGGTCCGATGAGATTCATGCCGTAAAGGAGTCGCTGGGTCCAGCCCTGCAATAATTTTTATTTTCAGCTTCACTTTTCCTCCTCAGACTCATTCTATGCTAGAGACCGTGCAAAGCTGCCCAGAAGGCACCAGAAAAGCGTGTTTGTCCTCCCTCCTGGTGGAGAAATACAAACATTTCCCGGAGCCGTTCTGGGCCTCTGCCTTCGCTTCCCTCCCCTAACCTTTGCCTGACTGGCTGTCCTCTCCCTCATCCCCCAGGGTGCCTCTGTGCCATGCCAGGGAGGGGAGGCTTTGCTCAGCAGTGTCTCAGAGCCATCTCCTGCACCCCCACCCCAAAATACAGCACTCAAAAACTGGGTCTGCAGAAAATTAAAGTTCTGACATAACACTTGTTGGATGTTAGAAGCATTCTTGGAAGGGAGTTGCCATTTCCTCCCCCGCATTCCCACTTCCTTACTCTTTGCATGCTTCCAATGACCCAGGCCACCAGCTACACAACCAGCAAGACCATGAAATGGATCTGAAGTCCACTTTTTTTTTCTTAGACAGAGTCTCGCTTTGTTGCCCTCTGCAGAGTGCTATGGCCTCACAGCTCACAACAACTTCCAGCTCTTGGGCTTAGGCGATTGTCTTGCCTCAGCTTCCCAAGTAGCTGGGACTACTGACGCCTGCTATAGCGCCTGGCTATTTTTTTGTTGTTGTTGCAGCTTGACCAGGGCCAGGTTTGAACCCTCCCTCCTCAGTATATGGGGCCGGTACCCTACTCACTGAGCCACAGGCGCCGCCCTGAAGGCCACTTCTTCTACATCAGTCTCCATGAAATGGAACCAGTTCCCCTGTCTGCTGGGAAGTAAGCCCAGCGTTGGTGCAAAGAGGAGTTGGCTCTAAGTTTCCCACTGGCTGCTCAAAAGAGCTAAACACCTTGATATGTATGTTTTTAATTTTAATTATGTGTTGAGCACATAAATTAAAAATGTCCCATTGGAGTGGATGAGGCCTAGAGGAGTTGGTTAAGGAGTAAAATTAGACTGTGTGAAGAACTGAAGTCTTGGCTATAATGTCCAGCCCTTTGGGTTTAAGGATTATTTAGGGCTAGGCGTGGTGGTTCATGCCTGGAATTCCAGCACTTGGGAGGCCGAGGTGGGTGGAATTGCCTGAGCTCATGAGTTCCAGACCAACCTGAGCAAGAGAAAGATCCATGTCTCTACAAAATAGCCATGCACTGTGGTGGGTGCCTATAGTCCCAGCTGCCTGGAAGGCTGTGGCAAGAGAATCACTTGAACCCAAGAGTTTGAGGTTGCTGTGAGCTAAGATGCCATGACACTCTACCAACGATGACTAAGTGAGACTCTGTCTCAAAAAAAATTAAGGATTATCTATCTGTCCTGTGCCTTTCAGCTCCCGGTTTAGAACAGGGGTGTGTGGAGGGAGGGTGCATTGAAAGAATGCATATGCCTCCTTCTAGATGCTCATGAAAGCTAAATTCTTCCCACTGAACTAGACTCCAAGTCAGTTTACCATATTTCCCACTGCCCTGTCCTGGTGAAGAACACTGTCACCTCCCCGCCCACCTGGACTGATGTAACAGTTTCTTAACTGGTTTTCCTTCCTTTATGCTCTTCTCTGTAATTCATCTCTCACACAACAATCTGATTGTTCTAAAGCACGGATATGATCATATACCTTTTTCCACCTAAAAACCTTCACTAGTTCCCTTGAATCAGCCAAGGAGGCAGACCAATGGCTTGTGGGCCATATCTATCTTAAAAAACCAGTTTGGTTTGGCCTGTATGTTTTTGAAAGCTGTCTTCTCTTAGAAAACCGGAAGATGGAGCTGCATTGGACCAATAATCCCCATGTGGTAACAAGCAGCAGGAGTTAAGGGTAGCTGCCCCATTAGACAGAGCATGAGTTCTAGAGCTTGCCACAATCCCCACCACTCCCTATTACCTTACCTCGGGTTAGCTTTCCTTATTTACATGCCTGGTCTTTGTGGGATTTGGAGTTTGTCACCTCTGCTCTAGGCTCACATTCCTTGGATTGACATACAAGGTCCTCATAGGTGGCTCCCAACCTACCTTTTCAATATCACTTTCCTGATACTTTCTGCCTTACACCCTAATGCTTAGTCTCATAAATTCTAAGAAATAAGTGTGTCGGCTCGGCGCCTGTGGCTCAAGCGGCTAAGGCGCCAGCCACATACACCTAAGGTGGCGGGTTCGAATCCCCAGCCCGGGCCCGCCAAACAACAATGATGGCTGCAACCAAAAAATGGCCAGGCGTTGTGGAGGGCACCTGTGGTCCCAGCTACTTGGGAGGCTGAGGCAGGAGACTCGCTTGAGCCCAGGAGTTGGAGGTTGCTGTGAGTGTGATGCCATGGCACTCTACCCAGGGGGATAGCTTGAGGCTCCGTCTCAAAAAAAAAAAAAACAAACAAACAAAAAAAAAGAAATAAGTGTGTCCATCAAACGTATACATCTAATTACCCCAGAAATCCAGGAAGTCCTTAAAGACAAAGTCCATATTCTTGGCACAAGGGGCATAAAATAAAGTGGGGGATTAACTCCTACTTTTCATAAGAGCTTGTGGAAACCACTTTTATTCTGTGAGCTTTCATAATTCTGTGAGAAAGAGTTAACTAACGGAGCTAAACTTTGTAGGCTAAAACACCCCAAAATAAGGCTAGATGGGTAACTGAATACCTTCACGTGCTTAGGCTGGATTTTTCAAAAGATGGAAAATATTCTTTCTTCTGTATTATCAGATACTGTCAGGATTCTCGTAAACACGATTACTTCCCTTTTTTCCATGTGACTAACACCTGCCATTCTTTTCTACATCCTTACTGTCTGGTCAACTCACCTTCCTCTCTCTTGTTTCTTTTAATTGTGGAATTATCTGGAAGGCAGAGGATTAAGGAAGAAAAGATTGGTTTAATGTTCTCAGAAGTCTACTGATTCTTCCTGTACAATCTGATCTTACTCTACCCTAGAGTCTTAAAGAAGATGGCATCTCTCTCTATTGTGATACATACTCAAGACCATTTCTTTGTGCATCAAGTTAAAATTTATCCAAAAATAAACTCAAAAAAGACCCAAGAGCTAAATAAAAAAGCTAAAACTATAAAGCTCTTCGAATCTTCAGGATGTTGAATTTGCCAGTCATTTCTTGGATATGACACCAAAAGCACAGGCAACAAAAGAAAATGATAGATAAATTAGACTTCATCAAAATTAAAAACTTTTGTGCATCAAAGGATACTATCAACAGAGTGAAAAGGCAACCCATGGAATGGGGAAAAATATTTGCCACAGGCTCACACCACCACACCCCAGCTAAGGTTTCTATTTTTTGTAGAGATGGTCTCGCTGTGTTGCCTTGACTGGTCTCAAACTCTTGGCCTCAAGCTATCTTTCCTCCCCAGCTTCACAAAGTCCTGGGATTATAGATGTGAGCCACACCCCACCAATATTGTCTTTTTTTTCACCTGATAGCCTAGATGACTACCAAGTGACTAATGGGTAGGCGGGTGACACAGACAAAACAGATACTCTGGACAAAAAAGGATTCAGAGCCCTGGGCAGATGGAACAGAATAGCGAGAGAGTTCATCACACCCCTCAGAACAGTATGCAATTTTAAACTTAGGACTTGTTTATTTCTAGAGTTTTCTAGACCATTTTCAGATCATGTTGACCTCAGGTAACTGACACTGTAGGAGGTAAAACTACAGATAAGAAGGGACTACCGTGCTTAACAATAAAGTAGAAGAAATAGTTTAAGGCATATTTTCCAAAGTGTATTAGACACACCACAGACAATATATGAAATACATTTAGGTGATACAGAGTAATATATACACGTATTTTGATTTTATAGATAAGATTTATTTATTTATTATTATTATTATTTTTGAGACTCACTATGTTGCCCTTGGTAGAGTGCTGTGGCATCACAGCTCACAGCAACCTCAAACTCTTGGGCTCAAGTGATTCTTTTGCCTCATCCTCCCAAGCAGCTGGGATTATAGGTGCCTGACACAACGCCTGGGTATTTTTTTTTTTATTGTAGCTGTCATTGTTGTTTAGCAGGCCCAGGTCTATGTGGGTGGTGCTGTAACCACTGAGCTGCGGGGGGCCAAGCCTATATTTATTATTTTTTAAATTAATTAATTATTATTAATTTTTGGAGACAGAGCCTCACTCTGTCATCCTGGGTAGAGTGCATGGTGTCATTGCTCACAGCAACTTCAAACTTCTGGGCTCAAGCCATCCTCTTTCCTCAGCTTCCCAAGTAGCTGGGACTATAGACGGCCATCACAATACCCAGCTAGTTTTTCTATTTTTAATAAAGATGGGGGAGGGTCTCACTTTTGCTCAGGCTGGTCTTGAACTGCTAAAGTTAAGCAATTCAGCCTCCTTGGCCTCCAATGTGCTAGGATTACAGGTGTGAACCACCACTCCTATCTATTTATTTATTTATATTTTAGACAGAATGTCACTTAGTTGCCCAGACTAGAGTGCTGTGGCCTCTGCCTCACTCACTACAAAAGTCCTGGGCTCAAGTGATCTTCCTGCCTTAGCCTCCCGAATAGCTGGGACTACAGGTGCCTACCACAATGCTGGCTAATTTTTCTTTTCAGTATAGATAGATGTCTTGCTTTGCTCAGGCTGGTCTTGATCTCCTGAGCTCAAGCAATCCTCCCACCCTGGCCTTCCAGAATGCTAGAATTACAAAAATGAGCCACAGGTGTGACTTTATTTTAATATGTGTAGAAAAACACA